AAATAGAAAGAAAGAAATAGAAAGAAAAAACTTTCTAAATCAATCCTTCCACAATCCTAGGAATATATACAATTCTATTTTCAGATCTGAACCAGTAACCCCACGTTTTCCAACACGTAGGGTTAAGAATAAACCCTAGAAAACTCAGATTTTCTCAGCCGCACCTTCTAGATAAATCTAACTTATTTCTTACTACTGCTGGCCTCCAGAAGAGATGAAAACTTACCCAGAAAACTTTGATCACCACCTTCAATCCTGATAAAAAACCAATCTTGATTCCTCTAACGTTCTCTGGTTCTTCCTGATTACCAAAAAACACTCTCCAATCTTCGGACAGCTGCGAAAGATTTCTGGTAATCTCCAAGAATCAGGCAAAGAAAGCTCCTTTCTAATCTTCCAGCCCTAGGTAATTCTCATGTGGTCGGCTGGGTTAGGCTCACATGAGAAGCCCTAGATCTTGCTCTGATACCAACTTGAACAAAACAGATAGAATACTGCAATGGTCTGATGTAATTTAAGAAAAGAAACACAGGTTCGAAGAGAAGAAGAGAGAGAGAGAGAGAGAGAGAGAGAGAGAGAGAAAGAAAGAAGGGGTTCGGTTATATATTACTGCCGCCCCATTAGTTGTTATTTATAAATGTTAATCTCCTTACAAGAGTAGGAGTTACTCTAATACCCCTACTTAAACTCCAACACAAATTAAAAAAAGATAAACAAGGTCCAGCCGGCCCAACTATAAAAGGAAATAAAAACATAATAAAGAAGTGTGGGGTTGGAACCACACACACTATTAACTATCTCTACATATACCTCTAACGAAAACAGCAGAATTATTAAGAATAATATCGGAAGAAGTGAGAAGAGAGAAGAGAGTAGAGGTAAATCATGGAAGAGAACACTAAAATCGTGAGGATTGTTATTTTTATGCCTTGCGTTGCTATTTACATCAGTTGCTAGGAACAAGAAAAGAAATAAAATAAAGGTCCATAATGACTAATCAAAGGCCCAAACACATAACAATGAATAATACCATTGACAAATAAGAAAGAACAGAAAGCAATTATAGCCTATTTCGCAATACTTATCCTGAAAAGATGAACTTGTGTGTATGTGTTTTTTTCTTTTAAATACTTATGAAAGTTAGTAGATTATGCCAAATGAGTACAATATGCAGCATTTGATTGAAAATTTGTGATCAATCCAGTTTAACTTTCATCAATGAAATATATGCTTCTTGAAGCTAAGTACTCCTTGGAGTATAAAGAGCAATTAACTGCACCAATAGCATAAGCAGTGTTGGTAAGAGAAAAGACAAGTAATCAGAAGCCTTTCTAGTCACAATTGTATATACATCCAAGCAAAATTTATGGTACATGAACTGCACCGTAAAGAAAAAACATGAACTAGTGATACAACAACACATACAGTTGACACCTTTAACATTGTTAAAGTCTTGATGATAAGTACCCTTGTGAAATGTGAACTAATAAAAAGTCAGTAGACCATGTGTTGGCTTTAACCTGATTGGTTGAATCTTGATTTAACATGCAACAAATATTCATAAATGCATTGTATTTGGACTCATACATCCATTGTGGTTCCCTCTAACACTTAAGAGTGTTTCTCCTTTTGATATCAACATGCATGTGCTACACAGAGTTTTTTATATATGTATTTTAATGTACATATGTATCAAGATCTGTCCTATGGTTTCGTGGCCATTGTTGATTCCAATTTTTAATTCTTTTACATGTGAAGGAACTACAATCATTTTGTTATGATAAGGAAGATTACAAAGGATTACCATTTGATTTTTGCGGGGGATACATTGGATTCATTGGGTAAGAAGTTAAAATTTTCAAGATCTAATTATATATTTTATATCTATATCTCAAAATTTCACTACTATTTTGTAATTTTCTCTTAGGGTCTGTTTGGTTCATGGAAATAGGGGTCCAGAATCAGAACCAGAATGCCCTATTCCGATTCCAACCATCTGGTTGGGTGAAATCAGAATCTGATTCCCATTCCTGGTGGAACTGGTGGAATGGCATTCCTCCATTTGAGGGAATGGCCACCCCCCCTGGAAATGAGAATCTTATTCCAGCTGATTCCAATTTCTGAACTAAACAGGTGGGGGGATTGACCATTTCAATTCTGGTTACAAGGGATTTCAATTTTGATTTCGATTCTGACTATGAACTAAACTGGCCCTTACATTTTATAATTTATTCCTTACATTTTCTCTTCATTTCATATTGTGAAGTACATTGATTTTCCTTTAAATGTTATAGTATGTTCAAAGAGCATAAGATGATGCAACACCCCCTATTAGTTGATTGCTAACACTCCCCCTCAAGCTGGAGGGTATATATATCATACAGTCCCAGCTTGCTACATATGAATTCAACCCTTTTCTAGCTCAAGCTATTTGTAAACAAACCTGCCCATTGCTTCTCTGAACTCGCATGATATGTGTTGATCTCTCTACCAAGTACCTTCTCTCTCACAAAGTGACAATCAACCTCTATGTGTTTGGTCCTCTCATGGAACACTAGATTAGAAGAGATATAGACTACAGCTTGGTTGTCACAATGCAACTTCATAGGACTTTCCATGGTGAATCGAGCTTCTTAAAGTAGGTATTTTAACCATGTAAGCTCACACATGGTGTGGGCCATGGATCTATACCCTGCTTCAGCACTAATCCTTGCAACCATAGTTTGCTTTTTAGTCTTCTAAGTGACTAAATTGCCTCCAAGATATGTACAGTATCTTGTTGTGGTCCTTCTGTCAAAGATTGATCCAGCCCAATCAACAATAGTATACCCTTCAATTTCAAGTTTTCCACCTAATTTATACAATAATCTACATCCTAGAGCTCCTTTCAAATATCATACAATTCTAATGACTGTAGACTAGTGAGGAATATGAGGATTCTATGCAAACCGACTGACTACACTTATTGTGAAATAATGTCTGGCTGTGTGATAGTCAAATAATTCAATTTGCTAACGAACCTTCTATGTTACTGGATTATCAAATAACTTCTTTGTATTTTGAGTTCTGCATTTAGTTCCATGGAGATTTAGTTGGTTTTGCACCTAATAATACTGTATCTTCAAGTAAATCAAGGACATGCTTTCTCTAGCATTAGTTAATACCATGTCTTGACCTTGCAACTTCTATACCCAAAAAGTACTTCAACTTACCAAGATCTTTGGTCTCCAAATGCTCTTGTAAGAATAGTTTAACCTTTCAATACCTTAAACATCACTGCCATTAATAACTATATCATCAATGTATACTCCCAAAAGGATCTACCCTAGTGTAGAATCATAATTAAAATAGGATGATCAACATTGCATTGTTTCATCCCAAAATTTTTTACCACCTTACTAAATCTGCAAAACCACACATGTGGGGTTGTTTCTGCCCATAAATTGCCTTTTTCAACCTACATGGTCTACCATACTCCTCTTGAGCAATAAACCCTGGTGGTTTCTCTCTCTCTCTCTCTCTATGTATATATATATATATATATATATATTTCCTTAAGTAGGCCACCATGGAGAAAAGCGTTCTTAATATCAAGCTAAAATAATGTCCAAATCGTACATAGCAACAAGAGAAATCAGCACATGCAATAAACCAATCTCAGTAACATGAGAGAAAGTCTCCGATGGGAGATCAAGACCTTAACACCAATGGGTACAGTGCAAGTAAGAAAAACAGAGCTAGGAAATCTGGCAGAGGAAAGACCAAGTTTCAAAAGAAGCAGAACGGTAGGAAGAGTGCCTTGACGAAGTGTAGGGCTAGAAAGGGAGAAAGTTGGATATGGGTGATCACAAAGTTTGATAAAAGTGGTAAGAAAATGTTTGTGGTCGGCTCAGTAGTGAGCGTTGACAACTGTATGCCTTCTTTGGCAATTGAGGGCACACGAGATGAAATGCAAGAAAGAAGTGTCCCAGATGGGACTTTCATCCCCTCCGATCCCAGTGCTTTAATTGCAGCCAGCTGTGGGAGTGAAAAATCAAGGTTTGTGGCTTCAAATGGGGATGCTTTTTGTTGGTCCAGAGAGGATGGAAGGGGTGGGGAGGAGGAAAATGGAAAAAGGAGTGATAGTGGCGATGCTAAGGTTGTGAGTACAGATGAGGTGGTAGACAAGGAAGCTTCAGGTGCCAAACAATACATAGATGAACATGTTGATCATGGTGGGAATGCTCCGCATTTTGAAGAGGTGAGGATTGGAAGGTTGGGTATAGACTTGGGCAGGAAAAACATTCTTGAAGAGAAAGAAGGGGGCCAGACTGCTGGGACAGCAAGCAACAAACCGCGTAGTTCTAGAAATCAAAATATTGTGCATGTCACAAAGATATTCTCTAGGCTTAAACTCAGCTTGGCAGGAGTAGGACCGACAAAAAATTACAAATGGGTCTACAGGAGGAAAAGATTGAGTGGAAAAGGGACATCCGTCTCTAATCGTAAGGGGACATTGATGCAAATTCAGCCTTCGGTTCCCCTTCTAGACGAGGAACAACAGGAAAACAATTTCAGTGTTACAGCAAAATAATAATGAAAAGAATGGGGACTTAGGTGAAGTGAATATCCAAAAAGTAGTGGAAATAGATGTCAGTATTGGTAAGAGCTTGGGTTTGTTCTTTTGGGGAGGTGAGGAGTTTTCCAAAAGGGCTTTGAAGAATTCGAAAGAAAAACAAAAAGGGAAGAGAAGTTGAAGAGAGACTATTGGAAAGGAGCTAAGTCATGGGATGAGGAACTTTCGGACCAGGAAGTTTCGTCCACAGATGAAGATTGAAGTCTTGGTTGGGCGGCGAGGAGGGGTTTTGATTCAGGTTTGTTTTGTTGGGTCAAGGGCTTGCGTATTTTAGGGTGCCTTTCTTTGGGGGGGTTTGATTTGATCTTCAGATGGATTGGGTGGGGTAACCTCATGTTTGTAAAGTGTGAGGTTAATGGATCTGTTTAGGGGTCCTGAGGCTGTAATGTGTGAGGTTTGAGGGTCTGTTTGGGGTTCTTGAGACCGTTCTTCTCCTGGTGATGACTTATCACCTCTCTGATGTAATTTCTCTTTTTTCTTGATTCTTTAGAAAAAAAAAAAGGTCTCCATGTAGTCCACCCCATACAACTTTATATACCCCTTTGCAACCAACCATGCTTTAAGTTGTTCTACACTACCAATCGATAGAAACTTCATAGTATGAACCTACCAACAACCCACAACATGCTTCCATGTGAAAAAGCGGTAAGTTTCCATGTATCATATTCAAGATCAGAAAGTTGCTCCTTCATTGCTTTCTACCAACCTGGAGAGGCAAGGGCTTCCTGGACATTCTTAGGGACATGAATAAAAGATAGTAAAGAAGCAAAGTGTTGATGTAAGGGAGATAGCATGAGAAACTAAGACAAAATTGGAATGAGGATGAATAGTACAATGATGTTCACCTTTCTAAAGTGCTATTTGGAAGAACAAGGTTTGAAGGTTGAGAGGTGGAAGATGTAGGTGGTGTAGGTGCTATGGTTTGAATGTGATTAATGACTGGATTCTCTGGCGATGGAGAAGATTGTGGGGGAGCTGGTACATATCTTTGCATATACACTCACTTGATTAGTGATCTACCAGTAACAACTCAATCTCAATAGGTACTGCTAGAGGAAATAAAGGAGATGAAGGAGTGGAAGTGTTTGTGCTACAAAAGAATGCAAAAGTCTTAAAAAAGTGACATCAAGACAAAGAAACGAATAGTTGAGAGTAGGATTGTAACATTTATACCCTTTATGAGTCCTAAAGTAACCAAGAAAGATACTCTTAGTGGCTCGCACATCCAACTTGTCTAGTCCAAGAGCAAATTGAGAATAGACATGGGCGTCCTATTAATGAGAAACATGCTATTAGCCTGCATCACTCCAAAACTTTTTCAATACATTCATGTGGATAAGGAGATAATAAGCAATATCAAGTAAATGACGGTTTTTCCATTCAACTACCCCATTTTGTTGAAGGGTGTAAGTATAGGAAAACTGATGAATTATGTTGTTTTGTTTTGGTATAAAAATTGCTGAAAGAATGTTAGGAAACATTCTCTGTCATTCTTAGAACAAAGAATTTTAATTGGAATTCCAAAGTGAGTGCAAATTTCAGAATAAAAAATTTGGAAAATGGAGAACAATTTTGGTCTTTCTTTCATAAGATGAAGCCATGATTCAAGAATAGTCATCAATGAAAATTACAAAGTAGTTGAAACCATTGTAAGTATGGGTGAGCAAGAAAAACCGAAAAAACCAAACCGAACAAGAAAATCGACTGAAGCCAAACCGAAAATCCGGTTAACTGAATCAATCGATTCAGTTTCGGTTCGGTATTTTTAAAAACCAAAGGCATCGGTTCGGTTTCAGTTAACCAATATAGAAAATTGGCAGTTAACCAACTGACCGGTATACATATAATTCTATATTTTTTAGGTATATTTATGTATATTATATATTTTTTATATTTTCTATATATTATAAATTAATAAATATGCATTATATATATAAACATATATATAATATTATATATTTCTGATTTTTTATTATATCTTTATATATTTTTATAATATATTGTAAATATAAAAAACCCGACAAACTGTACTGATCAACCGGTTAACCAATCGGCTTTGATCCGGTTTTGATTACTGATTTTCCATAAAACGGTGATACCAGTTCGATTCTAAAAGTAAGCCCACAGTTCAGTTAACCAAACCGTGATAACCCCTAATTGTAAGACTCAACAATGATGTTTAGCATTAAAATGTAGGGTGTCCAAGCCAACAATGAATAGTCACCAATGAAAATTATGAAGTAGTTGAAACCAAAGAAAAAGGACTCAATACCCGACAAACAGTTCTAGGACTAAAAGACACAATGATGTTTAGCAAATTAATACAACTCACAATCCAACAAAGAGACATGTTGTATTAACAGAGCAAGCAACTTAAACATCTAAATTGAAGGGTGACCAAACCGGCAATGCCACTATTAGTGGGGTAAGAGAGGAATGGAGCGCTACTTTTGATCCACCACCATTGAGATGCCTCAAAACATGTCCTTGAATGGGGTTATTGTTTAAAAAACATGATAAAATTGATGTGAAGGCTTACACTGATGCTAACTAGTCTGATTCTCCTAGAGATGGGAGATCAACATGAGGATACTGCACCTTTGTAGATGGGACTCTAGTCACTTGGAGGAGCAAGAAACAAACTGTAGTGGCTAGATCAAGTGTTGAAGCCAAGTATAGGGCCATGGCTCACAGAATGCTGAACTACTTTGGCTAAAATTCTCTTAGGTGAATTGAGGATATGTATGCCCCGAAGACTTCCCACTGGAAGCTAAGGAGGGGGTTCGCAAATATCTGAAGAAGTACCCGGGGATTGGTATATTGTTCAAGGAACATGGTCACGCATGTTTCCAAGAATTCCCACCTGGAAGTTGTCTCAGATATCTGAAGAAGTACCCAGAGATCGGTATATTGTTTAAGAAACATAATCATATGAGAGTTGAAGTCTACACTGATGCTGATTGGGCAGGACAGGTTCAATTGATGACAGGAAGTCTACTAGTGGGTACTGCATGTTTGTCGGTGGAAACTTAGTCACTTGGAGGAGCAAAAACCAAAGTGTAGTGGCTAGATCTAGTGCTGTAGCAAAGTATAAGGCCATGGGACATGGAGTGGCTAAAGTACTTTGGGTGAAAAATCTAATTGCTGAATTGGGTTTTTGAGTTGACAGCTCGATGTCCCTTTACTGTGACAACAAAGCAGCCATTAATTGTGCTGCCAACTCAGTTCTTCATGACAGAACCAAGAACATTGAAGTTGATAAGCACTTCATAAGAGAAAATTTGAAAAGGGTGAAGTTTGTACTCCTTATATCAGTTCTAAGGAACAACTTGCAGAGGTTCTTACAAAAGGTCTTCACTACTTGTGGCACAATGAGTTTTGTCACATTTTAGGGGAATGTTGTAATTCTATTAGTATGTAGCTGTAGGGGCTTTTTTTGTCAGAATTCATATTTTATTGTATAGTTGTCACCCTAAGTATATATTAAAATTGAGGCTCCGCCAGTTTAGCTAAACAAGGGACCCGGCGGGGGGNTATATATATATATATATTAATTAGCTTGTTGGTTGCTCCAGAGAATGGCCAAAATTTTATTTCATTTTGTTGCTGCAAGTGCAAAGTCATAACCCTCAATCGATGCGATTCTTGCCACGTGGAGAGTTGTCTTGACAGACTAAGACCACCCATTTGATTGATGGGAGACACTCCCAGCCAATTGTCCAGTTTCCTTTGTTTTAATTGTTTCACAAGAAACACAACCAAAAGAATAATATATGGCCAACCACTTGTCATGGGTGATGGCATTTATACGAGCAACTTGAATCAATTGACGAGGTTTCTCTTCTCTCGCCTCTTCAGTCTTCACTCACAGATGCACTATTCCTAGGATATAAAAAAAAAGGGGAAAAAAGCTTTACATTTTGAAGCAAATCAAGCCAGAATGAGAGATGGGGGGGGGGGGGGGGTGCTGCTGCTTTGTAATCATTTTCAGCACTCTGTATTCTGACTGTTGCAACATTTTTAAATTTGAATTATTAATTGAAAGTTGATCAAAAGAAAATGAGGCTCCACCAGCTCAATTTTTTGGTGGCTTCTTCAATTCTCTTCTCCCTCTCTTCTTTCTTCTTCTTCTCCTTCTTTCTTTTCTCATCTTCTTATTTAATTACATATAATAACGGTTGCTCTACATTATTCTGTTTCAGGAGACTATTATTTTGTTTTTTAAAAAATATGCCCACTAATGCCATTCTTAAACTTCTCTTTGAGGTATATAAAAATTGTGAAACATATTCAAATAAGAGCAATCTAGGAAACAATTTTAAGTTTCGAATTTATTCACACATTATCCATTATCTCCCATAACTCCTATTTGCAGATGCATGAACACCTTATAGCATTGGATACACGAGTACTAATATTGATATGTCCTGCCATGCAGATATGACCTAAAAGTCGAATGTGGTTCCACATATAATCATCATAAGTCAAGGACACCTGATGCTTGTTTTTTCTTTGCTGATAATCTTATAGTAATTGATCATGATAATGATGATGTGTACATTCTATCCATACACCACCACTCTGGTAATGCTTCAGTACCACATAAAGGGTCAACTGCAAAATCATGGTTGGATGATACTGAGCAGAAGCTTCTACAGTTAAAAACATCTACTACTTTCAAGGAGAAGAAGTCACAAGCAACAAAATTGACCCCATGTCATGTGGGTTTTCTTGCTGAGAAATCAAAGGACCAATACATGAAAGATGTCAAAAAGTGTCTGAATTTTATCAAAGATGGAGAGAGCTATGAATTGTGTCTTACAACTCAGATAAAGAAGAAAATTGGAGACATAGATTCTCTAGGACTCTACCTTAGCCTAAGGGAAAAAAATCCAGCCCCATATGCAGCCTGGCTTAATTTTTCCAAGGAAAATCTATGTATCTGCTGTTCTTCCCCTGAGAGGTTCCTAAGATTGGACAGAAATGGTACATTAGAAGCAAAACCCATTAAGGGCACCATTCGACGTGGTTCAACAATAGAAGAAGATTCACAGCTTAAATTGCAACTTAAGCATAGGTAAAAATTAATGTTTTGCATTGTTATATCATCATTTCCTCCATTTCTAGAGCTTTTTTCAATTCTATTTGATATGGAAATTGGCATTTTTCTCCTGACAGCAAAAGGTCAATCTCTGGAGTTAATGTGATACCCATTTACTTCCTAACCCTCAATGGCAGTGGAATGATCACTTTGGAACCAAAATCCTTTGTCATAGCAGTGTTGTTAATGTGGTGAGGTGATGACCAGTTTTTTTCACCACCCTGAGCAATGTGGTAACTAGTCAATGCCTAGGCCTGACTAGCCAATTACAAAAAAGATTTATTCTAAGTTTAAGATCTGGATGAAATTTCATGTATAAGCTAACAGAGACTACAAATATGCAGTAAAAGATATGATATAAAGCATTTAGTATACATTCTAAGTTTACATAGAAAGCCAGGACAAATAGGCTGAGATATGGAGTTGAAATCTTAGTTTTTTGAAGATAGTGCAGCATTGCCTTTCTGACATTGCTTCTTTGGCAACTTCCAACTCATTACCAGCAAACCACTAATTGGAGGATGACCTAAAGGAAACTTCTCCAACTGTTCCCCCTTTATGTTGTGCCTTTTATATTCTATATATCATCACCTAACCAGTATAAGTCCATAAGTTTATATTAATTGTTTGAAGATTTATACATTAAATCATAGTTATTCACTACAGAAATGGGCTGAAAACTAAAGACCATTACCTAATGTCAGTCCTAGCTATCTGGTCTCTTGGAAGAGTGCAGTGGATGGGGACCTATCCTTTGGCACTTCTTTTGGACAAAGTGGCCACTCTCAGACTCAAACCCACATTCTCATAATCATCAGCCCAAGATTTTACCATTACACCAAGCAATGGCCCCAGGAATGGACTGAAAACTGTTAACAAGGAATCATCATTATGCCAATTTTGGGCCTTTACTGCTTTGGGCTTGTTCTGATGATGGTGTTAGTTGGATGGCAATCAATGCATGGGACCTTAAAATGCATTTGGTAAAATATGAAAAAATGTTGGCAACTACATTCTATCTCAATAACCCCAAAAACATACAGAATATTTGGACTTTGGTTAAATTTGTTATTTTGTTATTGAAGAAAACTAGCTTACCGTGTCAGTACACTAGAATTATTGAACCAGAAAAATCAGTATGTGTAATAGTAATTTCATTTCCTTTGGTTCTCAGACTTTTTTTTTATTATTATTTTTGGGTTTGTAAATAATATTGAAAACCTTATTGATCTTTTCTTTCCTGGAGGTGTGGACTCAGTATAGTAGTCTGCCAATGACATAAAAATTACATCTAGGATGCAACCTGTGCCAGATTAAATCCAAATGCAATAACTGAACAGTCAATTTATAACCTGACCTGACTGAACCTTAATCATCATCATCTAATCTCTTCCCTAACTATATGGGGTTGGCCACATAAATCTTGTTTCATCATCCCATTATGTTCAGTTCCATATCCATTGTCAAATTATAAGAACTTAAATCCTTTCTTACTACTACAACTTATGCCCTTTTTTGTCTGCCCCTAGCTCTTCTAGCCCTTTGTAACATATCACTTCTTATGGGTTCTATAGATGGTTTTCTCTGCACATGACCAAAACCACCTTAGTCTACTTTCCCTCATTATATCACCTATGGGAGATTCTCCTTGGTTCCTTCAAATAAGTCCATTTGTAGTCTTTTACTTTTTATCTTTTCCACCCATTCGCATTTCTGCAACTGCAACATTCATTTTCTGGACATGCTGTTTCTTACTGCCTAATAAATCACTCCATACAATATTGCTGACCTTACGACTTTTTTATAAAAGTCTACTTTTAACCTAAGTGGCATTTGCCTATCGCATAAGACTCTAGATGCACCCCTCTGTTTTGCCCATCTTGCTCTAATTCCATGAGCATTGTCCTTCTCGATCTCTTCATTATTATGGATTATTGAACCAAGGTAACAGAAAAGATTATATTTAGTCATCTCTTGGTCTCCAATCCTAGCCCTGATTTTCTCTCACATTATTATTAAACTTACATTGCATATATTTTGTTTTAGTCCTACTTATTTTAAAACCTCTTGTTTCCAAGGCATTTTCCCATGAACCTAATTTTGTATTTAACCCTTCATTAGTTTCATCTATTAATACAATGTTACCAGAAAATAACCCGCATTATGAGACCTCCTCCTCAATATGTTCGATGAAAAGACAATTCAGGATCCATGTTCATAAGAGTATGGAAAAAGTTTCTATGCTGGCTGCCAACCAGACACAACCCTCCTATTTCTGGGCTTGAGACCAGCAGTGTAAGACACTAGCAGAGTTTGGTTGGGGACTCAGGTTTGGGTTACTTTATCATGTAGGCTAAAAGCAAATTATAATGAATTTGAATAAAAAAAAACTTGGCTTACACCCTCCTGGACATTAACCAATCGCTAATTATATACCGTTTGGCTGCTTGTGCTTTGGTAGACATGTATATGTAAATGTTGTACACTATTGGGCTCAGATTCCAGAAATCTGAAACAGAGCAGAAACAAATTATAAATTTAATGGCGGCCACCCTTCCACCAGGAATACTTGGGGTTAAAAAAAGAGAGAAACAGAATACAAGCCATTCATATTATCTGGTTTGATGAGTTTGGTTTCACTTTCAAGTTGAACCCCATCCCGAGTTGCATTTGTAGGTATATGTTGTTCATGGATGACTATAACCACTATCTCATGGATTTCAACTGTCATCTCAATATAAGATTTGATTTCTCATCCTCATTTCCCATGCCAGGAAATTATATGGTAGGGTTCAATAGAAACTTGTAATGATATGTTGTTCCATCCATATGAACTTAAATAGTTCTTTTTCTGGTCTTTTTTTTTTATTTTACTGTTTGAACAGCGAAAAGGATCAAGCAGAAAATTTAATGATTGTTGATCTTCTGAGGAATGACCTTGGCCGTGTCTGTGAACCTGGGACAGTGCACGTGCCCCATCTGATGGAGGTGGAATCATATGCAACTGTCCATACATTGGTTAGTACAATCCGAGGAAAAAAACAATCAAACGTGAGCCCAGTCGATTGTGTCAGAGCAGCATTCCCTGGAGGTTCAATGACTGGTGCACCCAAGTTGAGATCAATGGAACTTCTCGATTCTCTTGAAAGCTGTTCTCGAGGCATCTACTCTGGATCTATTGGATTCTTCTCTTACAACCAAACATTTGATCTGAATATAGTGATTAGAACAGTTGTCATACATGAAGGTGAAGCTTCGATAGGAGCTGGTGGGGCTATCGTTGCTTTGTCAAACCCTGAAAATGAATATGAAGAAATGGTTTTAAAAACACGGGCACCAGTAAATACTGTTTTAGAATATCAAAGCAAATCAGGTTGAAAGTAGTCTAGTATCCTCTGTTTTTATACCATTTCACATTGTATTATTATCATTCCCTTGGTGGGGTTGTGTAATCATCATAGAATTAGACAACTTGTCCAAGTTCTTATTTAAATTGGCAAACTTGTAAAACAGTTCAATTTGTTGTTTGATTCACGTCCTGTGGTCATGATTGCCAGGATATGTTTACCACGTGAATGCATCTGATTTATGTTTCAATTTGCTTAACATTTTGTTCTTGCACGGTTTGCACTCACTTCCCTTCATGACAACTATAATCATTAGTGATACATAAATTGTTTTTATAAATTACTGTTTCACTTTTAATAGATGGCACTATTCAATAATTGCTCTTTTTATTTATTTTTTTTCTTTTTTGATAAGTAAGAAACGAAAATTTCATTAAAATAAAAGAAAAATAGAAGATGAGGTAATGAGCCATCACCCAATTATAACCATGAAAGTAGGTATCCAAACTCAGTGCACCTTTTACAATTACATATCTGGATTTCCAGCACTTCCCTCAAATTTTCCCCCAGATCCCTTTTATTAATGTCTGAACTGGATGAGCCATAACCCAATCACCAATCGACTTTCTGATTGCTCTTTTTAATGGTGTGGATGCTTGTGCAATGAACTAATTTTTTATTCAAAACAAATCTCTAACTTGGAATTCCAACTGAATAATCATTATTTAGTTATCTGGATTCTCTTCAGAAAGGTAGAACAGCGGTTGATGTGTTTTCTGAACATGAAAAGAAATTTCACCTAAACTAGGTGTTCAATATAGATGCCAAAAATCGTGCCTCTCCAATAGGGTTAGGATACAAATATACAGTCATTGAGTGGAAATGAGGTTAACAATCCCTTGAAATAAAGGAAATAGCCGAGACCAAATTGAATTTCAATTGCCAATGGGACCTCAATATACTAGCGAAATTTCACCCTGTTTTCGAAAAAAACTTTTGCTCAGGAGAGACCAATAGGAAGGAGTTATTACACCCCCTAGTTGCAAAGATAGTCACCACCTATCAGTTCCAAATAATGACGTTTGTGCTAAAGATCTGGAATTCTTCTAATGGCTTGAACCAATGCATTTGTCTCAAATAAAAGCAACTTCTATATGGGTCCTACCATCAAATGTTTGAACATTTTTTTCTTCCCATATCAATAATAAAACTACAACTTTTGAGGCAGCTCCACACAATCTTTCCTTGTCTTCTTGGAGGAAAGAAGAATCAAGGACTAAAGAGGCAGTGTTGATGGAATCTACCAAACTCCAAAGAGAATAAAAGTATATACTCTCAAATGCTAGTAATGAGACAGTGTTTGGTTTGATTATTTGATAGAAAATAAGAGAGAGAAAATCAGGAAATTGAGGGATGTTTTAAAAGGAATTTCACAAATTTCCTTAAGAACTTTCCCGCAACTTTCTATTTCTTTTTTATTTCCTATCAAACCAAACACAGCCTAATAGAGAAAGAAACTAGAAATGTCAAGTGATTCCCAATCTTACAGTGAATACATCTATGAGAATTGAGAAAGGGGCAATCTGATTTTCTTTGAAGAATTTTACAAGTATTAATTTTAAGACGAGTTACTTTCCAACAAAAGGCTATCATTTTTTTTTATAGAACAAAAAAAAAGCTATCATTTTAATTGCTGTAAAAGGGTGTTGGTTCTTGCTCATTTTTTTGGGAGTGTATTATCTATTTTTACCATGCCCCTGTTGATGTTGTTAAGTATTATTATTTCTACTTTTCTCTGTTTTATAGCAGTAGGGATTATACTCCTTTTAAATATCAACTCAATAGGACCTTAGATTGTTGTTATGTTCATTTTCCCTTGTTCATCTCTATTTATTGTTTTAAATTTAATAATCAATATATTTTATTTCACCTTTGCTGCCTTTGTTTATAAATTAATATTTTCCTATGTATACCTCTCTATAGATGCTAAAATAGTGCTATTTGTGTAATCGCTTTGTTTGTGGCATTTTTTTTTTTTCAATTTTCAGTTTACAAACATGCTGAAATAATTTGAATCTCAAAAAGAGCCTCCTCCAAACCCTGTATTAATGAAAGAAATCTTTTGACCTGAAACATTGCCACATTTGTAAAATAACCAAGATTTAAAGTATCGATATGATATGCCTGATACAGGACATTGCATCGTATCTTTGAAAAGGAGATATAGGATATGCATGAAAATTGGATGTATCGTCTTTCTTCATGTGTATTGGTACCGTATTGATATGATACGATAGTGTTTTGGGCATTTTGATGTTGTATCGGTCGATACACTATCGATATGGTGGCGTATCGACTGATACACTACCAAAACGATATGGACGGTAACTTAAAACAACAAACGGGTGAAAGAAGGTTTCTTTCTCCTAAAAAAAGCCTCCCCCCCCCCCCCCAAACCACTCCAAATCTTTGAAAAGTTAACTTTTCAAGTTTCCGAAAATATTGCAAAAATAGGTGACTTTTTCAACTTTTTTTTCATTTAATCCTTTTGATTTGTTGCTTTTTTTTTTGTATGAATGCTGAATGTGTTATAATCTTGGCTGATCTACATTTTCCATGTCAAAAATCACAAAATTTTTTATTATATGTGTAGATCTATGGATTTTTATGAGGAAAAAATAAAAAATAAAGAAAAAATTGAAAAAAAAATGTTCATTTTTTTTATTTGAATGTAAGAAATAAATATGTTAGAAACCTATGGATGATCTACCATATCCATGTAAAATTTAAAATTTTTTGTGTAATTTGTTTTTGAATTTTTTGTAATTTTCGGAATTGAAAATTAAATATTAATTATTTACTTTTTATTGTGATTTGTCCATAAGAACTGCATATTCTGTTAATATATGGCTGACCTATCATATTCACAGATCATTTAGCATTTATTCTTCAAGTATGATTTTTTTAATTTTTTGTAATTTTCGGAATAAAAATTAAATATTAATTATTTATTTTTTATTCTAATTTGTCCATAAGAACTGCATATAGTGTTAATATATGGATTATCTATCATACCCATAGATCATTTGATATTTTTTCTTTAAATATGATTTTTTCTGTAATTTTCAGAATTAAAAACAAATACTAATTAGTTATTTTTTATTGTAATTTTCCCATAAGGATTGAATATATTCTTAATATATGTCTGATCTATCATATCCATATATCATTTGATATTTTTTTCTTTAAATATGATTTTTTGTAATTTTCAGAATTAAAAACAAATATTAATTATATATTTTTATCGTAATTTGCCTATAATGATTGAATATATTCTTAATATATGGAGAGTTTATCATATCCATAGATCATTTGATATTTTTTTCTTCAAATATGATTTTTTTGTTGATTTTTTTGTAATTTTTAGAATTAAAAACAAATACTTTTTAATTATTAGACATTAATATCTTGTGTGTTGGATTATGTTTTTTTTTTGAATTTAATTATTAAATATTGATGTGATTATAATTCTAATAAACATTGTTTAGATGTTCATGTATGTTTGACTATGATGCGACTCCTCATAAATTCTATTAAAATATTAATTTAATGTATATATCTTATTAAAGCCTTATATTTAGCATTATTGATGCATGTTTATGTTATACTGAAGTTTTTTAGTGTTTCTATGTGTATCTATGCATTTCTATGCATATCTATGCGTATCTTAATTTTTCTCCAATACGCATGCATATCCAAGGTGTATCTCGATACGTATCTTAAAATTGTCTTCGCGATACGCTAAGTGTATCTGATACTTTGAACCTTGAAAATAACCCTAATTTTCATGTATTTTTTTATATTTAAAAACAATAACTTTAAGGGGCTAATGGTAGTTATGGAAACCATCAAACACAAAGTGAAGCATATGGGTTAACTTTGGCTTTTGGGGCCCAACAGCATAGGCTGTTGAGACAGTTTTTAAGCTGGGCATGTTTTGGGCAGTTCACCAGTTCACGCCCATGCTTTGGTTTTTAGTAAAAATAAATTAAGATGTAATTACTAATTTACCCATTCTCATGGTAACGTGGCATTCTCAAAAATTTTCTCAACAGCATAAACTATTGGCCCCCAAGAGATAAAGTTTTTTCTGAAGCATATAACTGACACTGGACTGTAGGGTTAAACGTTTGACCAATCCAGTAGGGTCCCTACCTGAGTCTATATTAAAAATTCAAAACTTGATTGGGTGATCCATCATAAGAACTCTATGAGGCTAACAGAAGTCATATAACAAGCTTTAATTTTGGGAGGATTAAACCTACCTTGTATGTAATTAGCATCAATTGGCTCATACACTCCCTTAGCAACAACCATGTGAAAAAAAAATGACTGAATTTTCATCAAGTTCCTGTTCCCAAACAATCCCATCCTAAAGAATATAAGACATTCATTGTTTTCTATAGCCAGCAATAACCTTCCTAAAATAGGAGACTAGACCACCAAACCTCTTTCCATCGAGCGGCACTCCTGAACATGTTAATACCAGAGCAGGTTCTATAAAATTTGCCAAAACCACTGTGGTTGTCCTCCAAAACCCTAAAGTAAGTAGATGCTCATGATCAATGAAGAACTTTATAATCCAATATATCCTTTCTTTGCCACATGAGCAAGGAAGTCATAAGAAAAGAAAATGAAACTGGAAACTCCCATTCTATGATTGACAGTAGGGCTGTGAATTGGACTGGGTTTGGTCCAATCTGATCCGGTCCAATATGAGTCCATTACAGATGGACCAGGTCCAGTCCAATCCATTGAATACTCTGGGCCATTTTGGACCAGTCCAATTCAATGTCTGGACCGTCCCACCTGTTCAAATTGGTTTTAATTTAGATTGGTTTCAACCCAAACCTGGCCCATTGACACATGTATTCTTATCTTTTATCAATGGATGGGATATTGATTCAATCTAACCTAATCCAATATAAATCTATTATGGATGGACTAGGTCCAATACAATCCAAGATATACTTTGGATCATTATATCTGGACTGATCCATTCAATATGTCTTATTAGTTCATCTAATCCATCCAAATTGATTTTGACTTGGACGGGGTCCAACCCAAACCAGTCCATTGACAGAACAAGGTTTAGAACGAGATGGCTGTTCAGCAGGCTATATACATGGGGCCTGCACCCTTTACAGTGAGGTCATGAATTTATTACTGGCGTGGAACATATCATTGATTCCACAGCCCGCTGAACAGCCATTGCATTCAGCTAATCCAAATTTCCATTGACACTCCTAATTGACAGTAAATCAATCTATGGAACTATCATCTAGAGTCAAAAGATGGACAAAATCACAGAAGTGAAATTCAGATCTAACTTTGAGGTAAATTTGTTCCGCCTAGGGTGGAGGCATTTGCTTGGCTTCTTTCTCTGGACCACCATTTTTCATAAAGAAGAGAACGTATGAGAGAAGTATACGAGTTTTGCAGCTCAACCGAAGTAATAACATAGAATTAGAAAAGATAGTCACACCTTGCCAACCTCTTGTCCATGCATGAAGTGCCTACAATCACCACCCATAAACAAGCTCTAATAGAACATGACAAAAATAAAAAGACTCAATAACCCATATGAAATCTGATATACAAGCAAACCAACTCTCTACAATCACAATTGCTTTCAAGGAAACATGCAGCTCTCCATCTAAAACCCTGTCACTTCTCATCTCTTCTCCTTCTTTATCTGCCCCTTAAGCTAGCAATCTTTCCTCTTATATCTAACTTCCCACTTCGAATAATATGAATATGATTTTTTTTTCTTTCTTCAGCCCCTTCTTTTTCATGAATACTGTCTTTATAGTGAATCATCTGATGAATATATGGTTCAATAATGACAAGTATTAATAGTTAAAAGAGCATTTACATCTGTTATTTATCAGAAAAGGTAGAATCTATTAAGTATAGAATTAAACTGGGTGTTACATTGCTGTGGGTAGATTACCCACTTCCAACTGATTGCCCCTACTCAATTTGAACATTAACCCCAGAACAAACATTACAATCTAATTGTATACTTAAATAGTTAAAAGAGCATCTGCATCTGTTATGACTATTTTTTTCAGCACATTCTTGCAAGTTTCAATTACCCAAGTTGCAAAAGATCACCTGATATATTGAATTTAAAATGAATAGGGATCATGTCTGCATTTTAATGGGTGGTCACAGGAATGTTCTATAAAAAATGGTCACAACAAATGCAAGTTCATTAAAAGACACTATTGTTTGAAATTTCCATGCAAGGAATAGAAGGCAGAAATCAGGGAGTGGACAAAAAAAAAAGATTCCAATTGCTCATAGTTTGCTGTTTTGCTGCTTTCTATCTTTTTGGCATTAGAGGTGTATTCTTGGAGGTATTCCTTCACATGAGGTGTTAAGAAAATGGCCTAGGGTGATCCATAAAAAATAAAAATGCAGACATTTTGGGGTGCATGTCTCTGTGTATAAACATGAATGAAGGCATACATGCATATTGTATATTGTAGGTGTAAATAATCCCCCAAGCCCTAAGGTTGGATATGAAATCATTACATTTTTTGAAAATGAAGGTGGTGTTTGGTAAGTAAAGGCAATTTTGTGTTCCTTGATCAACCTACTGGTAATTGGCTTCAACCTATTTGCCAAGACCTTTGCTGTAATCTTTTAAGTAGTGTTAATATGATTATTGGTCTAAAATGACAAACACTCTCCAGGTCTTGGCTTTGGGAATAAGAACAATGTAAGTAGCATTTAGCTTTTGCATCATGGTCCCAAAATAAAAAATTCCTCAACTGTTTTAACTACCTACTTTCTCACCATGTTCCAATAATTTTGAAAATAAATTCCGGAAACCATTTGGTCCAGATGATTTTCTATGATGTATTTTAGAAGAGGACAACTTATAATTTCTTCATCAGTAATATCTAGGTCCAAAATACAACCTTAACCCCTCCCCCCACCCTGGTGACAGTGAGATTTGATATCCCAAATTTCTACTACAACCATCAAGAGATCTTACCAAGTTAGTTGGCGCCTAATCAAATACTTCATCAATCCTAGAAATCCTAGTAGGATTTGAGGACTAAAACAAGTTAATAAAGGCCTCCAAGAAGGTTCCATTTAACTTTCATCTTCACCCTAGTTCCCATCTTTGTCTTGAATCTTATCCATAAAATTTCTTTCTCCTTTAATGGTAGTGGATGCATGGAAAAAAGCTAAGCTTTTCATCTCCCCAAAGCAGCCAGTTGACCTTTGATTTTTAGGTCCATGTTATCTCTTCTGGTATTACTTCTCCATTCAATTTGCCCTCAAGAAATTTAACTCTTGCATGGTCAGTGACTCAATGATTAGGAGGGAGGGAATGAGGGACCTGACATGCTCCATTTCTCCTTAAATCTCTTATTTTGTTTCTTACCTTAGCCAAAAACTTCCTTATACCACTTGATAAAGTCCCTTCTAGATTTCTTGCACTTTCCCACAAGATTATTCATCTTCAACTCCTTTCTTTAAACAGCCCATATTTGCTTTACAATGTCTTCACAATCTTGATGTATGAACCACATCTCTCTTTGAACCTAAATGGTTTCTTGAAACAAGGTCTACTTGGATATGCATCTAGAAGAATCGAAAGGTGATCTGAACCATATGAAGAGGAAAAATGACACACCTTTGCTAACCTCAGTGTTTTCAGCTCCTAGACTATTTATTGTACCTTGCAAATCTTGGTCCTTGAAAATCCATCTCTTCAACCCACACTTACCCATAGCCTCATTTTCCATTGTGTCATCCCTCCATCTGACTTCATGTCCTCACACTTTGCCCTAAACCCAGAGGATGAAATTGAAATCCCCCATGCACCATGGCAAACCAATTTCTCAACACATCATAAAAAGAGATAATAAGATTCCCTGCAAGCAAAAACTCTACACACACACTCTTGAAAGCATGAGAACCCAGCTGCATATTGGAAACATCTCCTCATGAAATTAACATACATGTATGAGAGATACTCCAATGTGTGGTTGGATTCTATGTGAATAGAATTTTTGCTTACAGGAGATCTGGGCTCTAAAAAGAGGCATCTCCTGAGTTTATTTGATTCACCATAGAGAAATGGGCAATAGCACACCTTGCTAACATTAGGGTACCAAATAATAATAATAAAAAAAAAAAACTATGCCACCTACCAAGTCATAAGCATCAATGCCCCACCAATCCTAAGATTTAAGAAACCTAACTTTGTCTATGCAAAACAAGATGCTGTTTTTAGTTTCCATTAGCTAAATGATATTTGCATTGTAATTATTGCAGCCACAAGCCTCTTTAGAGGTGGTGTTCGGCACCATAACCATTTCTACTTGCAACGTTTTGTGTTGATCAATACAAATTTTTGAGAAATTATATTAAAAAAATTATAAATATTGGATTAGGTATTGGCATTTCTAGTAGAAACACCAAATTTGACCTTTCTTGAAGAAGCAACAATGGTACCCAATGTTATATATATATTCTTATAAAATTTGTATTGACTAACCTAAATATGACAAGTAAAAGTGAAAATGGTACCAAATACAACCTAAGTGAGTGGGAGATTCTGGCAAAAGTGGATGACAGAAACTCACATCCATAGCCAAGCAAAAGGGGACAAAACCAAACAACCTTGTTTGATGACCCAATTTCACTAAAGCCAGGACGTTGGATATGACACACAACCGATCAAGGACTTAAGCCTTTTGTACCTAGATATTGACTTTCCACGGTATGATCCATGGAAAAAGTCCCAGGCCTAAAGCTTTTTAAACCATTCCCGCACAGATTGGGGTCATTTGAGCCGTGGCCCTCTCCTCATAATTGTTTGTTTCCTGTGAGCCTAGGATTGTGATCGGCTCCTCTATTTTGACTATCGACTATCAATTGCTATTCCATTTTTATTATTCACTTCTCTCATGTGTCATAGGTTGTGACCATCTATTTCCTTAGCTTCTTCTGGATCCCTTTTATCTTATAAGTTATAAACATGCAGATCTGATCTTTCTCCTATTTATTCATCAATGCACATGACAGTATCTCTAAGACAAAACTATTTATAATTCATACGCAATTGCTGAACAGTTACAAGTGATCAGTTTCTAAACAGTCATAAGTAGACAGTTTCTAAAATAAGAGTAAATGACATATATGCCCTCTTTATGCCTAGTGTATTCTTAAACAAGGGAATAGAAAACCTTAAATGAAAATTCTAGAAAAGGGGCATTGCTCTCTTATAGGTAGTATGGATTATCATCATCATCCAAGCCTTATCTCAACTACATTTGTCTGATCTTGTTTTTCCATTCCAATGATCTGTATAATGCCATGTCTAGTTTAAATTTAATAGTTTTTAAGTCATTTTTTACTACTTCGGTCCATGTTCTAATTTTTTGTCTATGCAAACCTGTCGAAGCTAACTCTTAAGTTTCTTTAAATGATTTCGATTTTGACCTTACCCATTTGTAGTTTTTCCACTTATCATCACAACATATACATTTCTCCCACACTCATAGCTAGCCTTACAATTGTTTTATAAACCATGTAATTTAATGTGAATAAGTAAATTATAGGTCACAAATATAAAATATTCATTAAAAAGCACCCCTAGTTGGGCTCTACAACTAAACATTTCCTTTGATGAAACTTCAATTTTCCTAATGCCTCAAATTGGTGATTAGGAAGCAATACATACCAATTGATTCAATTGGTATTAGGAAGCCAGAATATTTTTTTTTTAAAGGAATCCTGCAATTCTATTTACCCCTAAATAGCTTCTTCCAACATATTTTGCAAAAAATTACTTAACAAGTTTTGGATGATGTGCCAATCTTTAATTGATTTTAAAATTTACAAGTAACTTATTTGAAAACCAGCTTCACCGAGAGAAGTTATGATTTGCCACGTGGCTATGGATTTAGCCACGTCAAATCACAGGTGACTCAGCATGTTTGGTGTTACATATTTTTGTAAGAATGTTAAAAAATTGAAAAATGTAGGGAGTACCGCTTTATTTTACTTTCCCTTGCATGTTAACATAAAGGAATGGAGAGACATCAAAAGTAGAATTCCTCCCATTCCCCAAAACCGAAATGGAAGTTGACCCTCTTAGGGTTTTTCTCTCTTTGCAAGCAAGAAAGTAGAGTTACAGTGTTTGTCTGAGGTCTGTAGAAGAGGAGATTGAAGTTCGAGATTCAGACTCTGATCTTCTCACGATTCATACGGTGGTACGTTTAGTTTTGTTTAGTCTATTTTGTTTTTTGTGTTGTAGCCTTAGTCTGTTGCATCTTTTTCTTTTTCCACTTTTTCTTCGATTTTCTTCTCCGACAAGCAAGTTGTCCGCCTCCTTGTATTACTCTTTTTATTTGATTTTTCTCGTATTCTGCCCCTCTTTTATCCCTTTCTTCCTTTGATTTAATTCAGATCGCTTCCTGTTGTTATTTGTTTTTCTTCCAAAAGTTCTTGCTGCTAATTACGTTTAACATCTTTCTAATTGATTAAATTGCTTTGGAGTTTCTGCTAATTGCGACCAATTGCGGCTTTTAACTACTTTAGAAAATCTTGTTAATTGATTTGATTGCTTTCGCTGCTTCGTTTTTTGATAAGCATGAGACGAGACATTTGGATACATAGATGTCATGCAATTTATTATGAACTTGTGAATTAATTGGTAGTAAGTTCTGGACCTATGATTGATAAACTTATATTATATACTTATTTATTGTGAATTCTTACTACACTATAATTTGCTTTTTGTATTATGCTTGTATCTTCTGTTAGAATGGTTTGAAGCGGTTTTGCTTGGGAACATGTCAAGGAGAATGGAAAGTTTGGTGGCTAGAAATGCTGAGACTTTGGGTTGCTTGGTACCTGAATGGCTCCATAAATATTTGGTTCTTCCTCTAGGTGTTTATCCTAAACCCAGTAATTTTTGGAACCTATACTTGGACAATTGGAAGAGTAACCATATATATTTGGGGGGAGATTGCGAGAGTTGTCTCAATTAAATCCACTTTGTCTGATTTACCCATCTATTTGCCTATTTATGTTTCAAATCTCAGTTTTAGTGGTGAAAATCTAGAGAAAATAATGAGGGCATTGCAAGAGCCTTTGTTAATCACTTTAAATCGATTTATCATTGCAATGGGGATGATAGAGCAGATACATTTGGATAGGAGTGGACTAGGCTAGATAGGGATCAAATGGAGGGTTTGAAAAAAAATTTGATCTGGAGGAGATAAAAGAGGCAGTGTTCTTAATAGACAGTTTAAAGGCACTGGGGCCTGATTGGTTCTTTCTCTATGGCCTTCTACCAAGAATTTTGCGTTCTTGTGGGAGCTGAGAAAAAAAGGAAAGGATCATCTTTTTTTTGATGAATGATAATAAATTTATTAATTCATAAGCAAATTTAGAGTGAGTTCATACAACATCCCAGCGAGAGGCGCGAGCTGCAGCCCCTCCTTGAATCTTACCGGTAAACTAGGAAAGAAAAGCAAGAATCACAACTGAGCCCAAAATAATTCTTCCCTATTTACCCCTTGCTTAGCTAACACATCTGACAAAGTATTTGCTGATCTCCCCACCCATTGTATAGTGACCAACATATTCCTTGTCAACCAACTAAATTTCTTCATTTCATTCTTGT